ACTATACTACCACTATACTACCACTATACTACCACTATACTACCACTACTACCACCACTACCACTACTACTACCACCACCACCACCACTACTACTACTACTACCATTACTACTACTACTCCTCCTCCTCATCCTCCTCCTCCTGCTGCTGCTGCTGCTTCTACTGCCACTGCTACTGGTGGTGGAACTGTGAGGCACGTGGTGCCCTACTTTACTCCAATGCAAGTCACCCTCTTCACATCAAGTTTACTTGATGCTTGCTTGTCGTTTCTGGTGCTTGGCGAGATTGTGTCGCACATCTCGTTATTAGATTGTGGCTGGCCCTCGGGGAGTTTCCGCAGATGATCTCAGTCTCAGACAGGCGGCGAACTGGACCGGCTCCAGCAATGCTGTTGGTTCCGTTGCTTTGATGAGCTTGGTGATTTTCAGCATATGGTGCGGACCTGTTCCGATTGCCCCTTGGCCACTGCGTGACCTGTGAAACCTGCTGGTGCTCTCCATTGGAAGCCCTTGGGGTGGTGTTCACGTGGTGATCGTGTGGCCATCGTCCGCTGAATTCCCAGGGTCCTTTGATTTGTTTGGGCTGCTTGCTGGAAGAGCCAAAGCTGATGTCTGCTTGGTCTTTCCCCCCGGCTACTGTAGTGCGATTTCTCTCTTGGTGCTTTGTTGTGCTTGTATGTACCTTAGTTCCATTGCCTAACCGTCCAAGACAGCCCGGTTTTCTTTTGAACGAATTCTCTTGCGCGGGTTTCCTTGCTTTGGTTGCTTGCTGCTACTGCTGTTACCTACTACTCCTGCTGCTGTTGCTGCTGCTGAAACTAGCGCTACTGAACCTACTTCTGGTTAGTACTACTACGCCTACTATACTGCCACCACTTCCACTTAAATTGTATTACTGTAATTTTCCCACAACCGCCACCACGACTACTACCACTACAAATACTGCTGCTGCTACTACTACTCCTAATACTACTACTACGACGACTACTACTACTACTGCTACTGCTACTGCTACTCCTACTACTACTACTACTACCACTGCTACTGCTACTGCTACTGCTACTGCTACTACGACCACCAGTACCAACACAAACACCCCACCATGACCACCACCACCACC